CAGATGTGCAAGAGCAGTAAGTGCAATAAGAGCAGATTATATGCAGATAAGGATAGTGTGAAAGGTGGGAACAGTTATGAACAGAGTATGTACAAATAAGTATACAGATGTTTATATTGCTATACAAAAAAGCAAATATACAGATGTAGTACGGACAATGTGCAGATATACAAGTCAAGTGGCTTTATTGTGATTTCAACCATGTGCAGTGGTACAGTACAGAGTAAAATGAGACCCTGGTGCTACACATGACATATAACAGACAAACACACGACTACGTAAAGTGCAAATAATTGCAAATAAACAAGACAACAGTGCAATGGAAATGTGCAAAATGCTAAGTATTTTGCAAAAGTAACTTGTGTGTGTGTGTGTGTGTGTGTGTGTGTCAGTCCAGTCTCTGAGTGTCTGACGACACGACTATGTCAGTGTCCTTAAACTACAGCAACTTTATCATGTTTTTTCAAGTTTTTCAAAGTAAAATGATTCAGCTGATGTTTGTCTCGGGTCTCCTGGCACCGCTTTACAAATATTGCTGTGAAACTTCATTTGTTACATTTTTCTGTGAATATTTAATGAGTGATTTCCTAATATTAAACATTTTTTCCTAAGTGAAGAGAGAGGTGAATAGCATGTGTTACAATCAAAGCAGTTTACTAACAGTCACCAGCTCACGTTCGATGGGATCCAGAAGCTGCTGTAAATGTTCCTGACTACAATAAAGTCATCAGCAAAGAAGATACACCTCAGAGACATGAGACTGAACATTAACCTGTAATAAATAAACAAACACAGTCCAAGTACCGAACCGTCTTTGGATGAGAGTGCAGAAACATGAGTGAGACTCCTTTATAATCTGGTTATTTCTGCTTTAACAGCAACGATAAAAGGAGGAATCATCAGGACGTTGCAGCTGCTTCACTCCAAACACTCTAAAATGACCTGTAATGATACCGGCAGGAAACAGTCACAAAGAAACCCAACAGAGTGGAACTGATCTCAGCAGCTGGACGTCTATTTTAGCTCTTCTGGAAACAGCTCAGTCAAACCTGAAGTGACAAACTGGGA